TTAAATTAGCTCCACTTGGTTTGAATCATTCTTAATTAAATTGCAGCAAAATTCAGGTAATTTTTCTAGAGAGATAAAAAAATTGCATAATGTTGTGTCCAGTAATTGATAGCTAGCCATATTTGGTCAACAAGATATATATATACAAGGAAATTTCCTACAGCTTTTCCCAAGTCTCTTTAATGTATTATTGAGCTTTGGAATTATAAACAAATGTTGTTTAAAATTGTGAAATTAGGTTCAACATGTATTTTTAAAGATATATTTTTAAATTCTTAGATTTGTAGATTTAAAAACAGAATCAAGAAATGTTGGTTGCCTATAGAAAACTAAGTATATCTTGTGAAAATTTTACACATTGTTACTGGAATATATCTATTTGATAGCATCTAAACTTGCTGGAGTTAACAATTAGTATTGTTTTCATTATTTGGATATACAAATAGTTTTGTTTATCATGTCAAATTAATAAAGATATTTTTAATCATTAAAACTGTATGTGTCTTAAGGCTGTAAGAAAGTTTATTAATTATTCTTAAAAATTATTTGGCTTAATCATTGTAGGAGTTCCTTTAATTGGTCATCTCAAGCTTTATAGGTAGCTCTTCTTGAAGTATTGAAATGAATACTTTTTGTGATCATTGAATGGACTAAACTGGTTTTACGTACTTGTATTTTAATGCGTAGATGCAAAAAATACTATTTAATAAACTTGAAATAAATTTTAGAGGAGGTATAGAACAAACAGTACTAAGTAAGAAAATCAATGTGTTAATTTTCTAGATTCACATTGTACTAATTTTAATGTATTCTTGTGTTGTTAATTTTCCTAATGATTATTTGTTTTTTAGTTTGTTTAGAAATATATCTTACAATTTATACTAATTTTGGATATCACATTAACAGTTATTGTCCAATAAATAAATATCTTAGGTCTTGAACATTTTTTACTACATTGAAATCTATTGAGGATTATCAATTTCACATGTTTTCAAGTAAGTTATGAAATAATGCTCAAATATATTTCATGACACAATATTTATCATGTATCAAATATATATTATTTGAAAATATTATAGGTTCTTTACATGTCCAATAATCTTGTGAAAGACTGGGCTGAGTTTCAAAGACTAGTAAGTTATTATTTTTCTTTTATTGAGTTTGTTTTATGAATTAAATTATATAAATGTTCTTTGTATTTCTTTGTGTATTGTTTAATTGCATTTTCAAAAAGTATACAAATGTAAAATTGTATGTATTTAAATGTTAAAAAATGAGGTCACTGAATATTAAAATTGAATAATTTTTGGTATATTAAATTCTTTGGCAGATAATTATTATTCTGTAACCTGTTTGAAAATCTTTTATGGTCACAGTTTAACTATTTGCTACCCTTGTAAAGAAATCTGTTGTTTTTTACTCAGTTAATAAGTATAATTAAATAATAAATAATAATATGCTCACAGTTTAACTATTTGCTACCTTTGTAAAGAAAGCTGTTGTTTTTTACTCAGTTAATACGTATAATTAGTTCTGAGTAATTCATGAATTGAGAGTAGAATAGTGTTTGTTCTTTGATTAGGGTAAAATAAAAAATAGATATGTTTTAAAGTGTTTTTCTTTCAGGCAGAACTTCCAGTGTTAGAAGATCTAGTTTTTGTTGGTATGTGTAAATTATTCTTATAAATTACATAACTGAAAAAAGCAAAGAACAAATATATTGCAAAAGCTTTAAAAAACAACTAGACAGTAATTTCGATGATGAGGAATCCACTTTGAGACTAATAATGCTTGGAGATGGCTCGAATGGGTAATGAAGAAAAACTTTAATATAAGTTTAACATAACAGCAAATGTACAGCATAAACTACTTGTACCTGATGATGACAGAACCTTGTCGAAACATTGTACATTTGCTGTTATGTTAAACTTATACTAAAGAGTTTCTTCATTACCCATACAAGCCGTCTCCGGTACCTGATGATGACAGAACCTTGTCGAAACATTGTACATTTGCTGTTATGTTAAACTTATACTAAAGAGTTTCTTCATTACCCATACAAGCCGTCTCCGGTACCTGATGATGACAGAACCTTGTCGAAACGTTGTACATTTGCTGTTATGATAAACCTATATTAAAGAGTTTCTTCATTACCCATACAAGCCGTCTCCGGTATCCTGATGATGACAGAACCTTGCCGAAACGTTGTACATTTGCTGTTATGTTAAACTTATATTAAAGAGTTTCTTCCTTACCCATACAAGCCGTCTCCAAGCATTACAACAAGAGAGTAATATTTTGCATAATTTTAGTACACAATTTTTTAATGTTAAGAAACATTATGCTTAGAATTTTGTGTTGCTTTTAGTTATGACTTCTTAACATTTTTAGACTAATTGAGAAAAATTAATGTTATCTTATTTTTCAGTGTAACAATAAAAACATCTTTCTTTTATAATATCTTTCAATTTAACCCATTAAAACATATCTACTGTAACATGTTATAAAAGAATAATTTTGTTCAACTGATACATTGTTTATTATTTATGTCTAACCCTCATAAAGCATAATACAGTGCATAGATTTGGTGAGATAAACTATGTCTTAACTAAAACAAATATTGCTTTTAGATTATTACCAAGTTATGATCTAGGTTTTGAAAATAACTTTTAGTTCAAACTTATCTTTCAGATACTTGTATAACAATAATTTATTAATAATGAGGGGTAAACACTATACATCTTTGTTCCTTGATCTCATGATGGAAGCATTTCCCTCTTGGTTCTTCTGTAATCAATCTGATTCTGTTTTACAACTGGTGAAATAAGGACCTCTAAGGAAAGCCTCTTCCTGAGTCATTAAGTATGAATACCAAATGAGGTTCAAAGATTCTCCTCCAACTGTTTTATGATATTAGTCAATAGCCAGGTTAAGCCACTGTCTTTAAACACGGTTATTTAGTCTTGATTTGCTTAACCCCAGTTTCAAACAGAGATACTTTTGGTAAATAGTATACTCCAAATAAAATGAACAATGTAATCTTGCATTCATACTTTCTAACTTCTAACCTAATGTGGCAACTCTACCTACCATGGTACTGTATCTCACAATATTGTCATGATTATCTGGTCTTTCAAAAACAATTGCTGGTCAAATAACTAATAGTAGCACAGAGTGCAGAAAAGCACCTAATCCCATTTTGTAGTGAATAAGCATGATATTTCTGATGATATATTAATATTTGATGTCAGGCATAACAAAAACATTTTAATGAGCCTTAGTCTTATTGAAACAGCTAAATACTGAGTAAACTGGTCTAAATACATATCTAAAGAAGTTATAATTTCGTTGTATAGGTCACCGGTTAGACCACATTTGGAATATTGTGTTCAGTCTTTAGGCTCCTTACCTTAGGAAAGATATTGACTTGTTGGAAAGGGTTCAGAAAAGGGTTACTAAAATGGTGCCTGGGATGGAGGGGTTGTCATATTAGGAGAGGTTGAAATCTCTCAAATTGTTTTCTCTGGAAAAAAAGAGTTGGGGGATCTGATTGAGGTGTTTAAGATTGTAAAGAGAATTGATAGAGTTGATGCATTATCTTAACAGTGAGAATAGTAGGACTAGGGAACAGAAATATTAATTTTGGGTGGGTAAGAGTCGTCTTCAGCTGAGACAATTATATTTTTCTAACAGGATAAGTGGAATGGGTTGCCTTTGGATGTTGTGGAGGAAGTAAATTTAAGTGAGTTTAAGAGAAAGCTTGATAAGTATATGAATGATAAGGGCTGGCTTTAAGATTTTTTTTAATTTATTTATTAATACTTTTAGCTTAGTTTAGAGGATGGAACATTATGTTAATTTGATGCTCCCAATTCCTGTGCCCTGAGGCAAATGCCCCTGCTTGCATTTATGAGACTTTTTCCTACAGGAGGGACCCAAGCCATCACATTTATGGATTTTAGTTATTGCCATGGACTTTTAAACTACTCATTCGTACTTGACCACATAATTTCAAAATAGGCAGACTTACCTCTGAAATATGAAAAGCTTTTCCATGTTGAGACATGTGACTGAACTTCTAAATGTATTTGACACAATGCAGACCATGTGTGAACTTACCCATAATTCTCCATTCCTTTCCCATCTTCCATGTGACTTATTGTGCTTCTGAAACTATACTACTTTCTTTCACCCAAAGCCGTCTTGATCTTGATTTGCCCTCTAAGCGTTGATAAAGTTTTTCAACAGCACACCAGTCTTTTATACCCCCCTCATTTTTGCACCATTGCAGCAATGTGCTGATCATGTGACTACCTTACACCAGTCGTACCACAATCCTCACTTTCTCGATTGGCATTCTAGTGTATAGATGTGTGGTTTAACTTGTTCCCCATGTGACTAAAAGATTTCGATTATGCTTCATCACAACTTTATATCAGTTTCAACTTCTTCTGTTTGATTTCCATTGTTTTTACTTGCTTGTTTCAGGAATGTTTCCTTTCCAAATTCTACTTTGTTCACATGAATTCTAGATTTAATATGGCAAATGTTGAAATTCCCACTATAAGTAGAATACTAGTCCCCAGGTCTCAGGGCTGATGATGTCTGCTGGGGAAGCACAGGCTTTAGTTCGTGTCTTACGTTTAGCCAACGGTTTTTCCTTTCACGTTATGATTTTTGTGGAGAGGGATATAACTCCTGTGTGGAAATTGTCTTTCTAGGTACTTTCCACATGTTACTGTGCCTCCATGTAACCTGCTGGGTTAGGTATTGTTCTTTTCCCTGAAGATTTGTGGTACGTTTTTCATTCCTCATAGGTATACCCATGTTCAGCTTGTGTGGATGGATTTAATTTCTGCACTCAATAATTTAGGCCATTCATGTTTTTTCTGCTCATTGTTGGGTAAGTCAGATTTTTTACTTCTTTTCACTGTTAATGTTATTTTGTTTGTAAGTTCCTTTTTCTTTACTAGTCACGTCTAAAAGTTCCTTTAGTGGTTTTGTAATTTGAGTGTTATTTATTGTTTTCTGTTTTAGGTTAAATTTCATAGTTTTGCAGGTTTGTTATTTTTCTATATTTTGTATACTTTACATGTTTCTATGTTTTGTTAGTTCATTAGTATTGAGTACTTTCTCTCAGTATGTTTACTTTATGTGTTGTTGGCCACACTTCACAACAGTTCTATTGGTTCTGTTTGTGGGTTTCTGCCTTCCATTTTGCACCCTCTCTATCCAATTTCCAGATCTCCTTCCCTCTTCCTCGGGACCATACCTCATCTGGTTGTGTCGCCGAGTCTTTTCGAGACCTACTACACAAAGGAGCTATTGTTTGTTGTCTCCAAAATACACAGACCATGTGACTTCCCTACACCACTCATGTTTTTTCTGCTCACTTCTTTTTACTGCTAATGTTATTTTGTTTGTAAGTTCCTTTTTCTTTACTACTTTCTCTGTTCATGGGGCTCTGTATCATTTCCTCCCATTCCTGCATGGGTGAGTGGTTATGATTCATTCTGACATTTCCACTGTCATCAATCATATTACCCATCATGGAGGAACCAAGTCCAGGTCTTTCTTTTTTCAGACTCTGGATCTCCTGTACTAGACCACCGACTATGACATGACCGTTCTGGCATGTCATATTCCCGCAGTTACGAATCTTGTGGCCAATCACTTATCATGACCCAACAAGGTTCTCCCCATGGAGTGGTCCCTTCATCCTCAGGTTTTTCTGTAGGTGTATTCTCAACTGGGAACTATATATATATATATGTGCTTTTCCCACTCACTGGAATGCCAAAATTCCTTCTTTTTGGTCTCCAGTTCCCCACCCCTCAGTTCTGGGGGTGGATGTTTTCAGTCCAGATTGGAGGGGTTCTCACCTATATGCCTACCCTCCAATCAGACTCCTCTCCTAGGTCTTTACCATTATCCAGATCACTCCTTCTTGTTTTCTGCTGGTTGCTCCATATTGGCCAGCTCAGATATGGTTCCCTCTGCCCTGGCTCATATTGGAACGACAGCCCATGCCCTTCTCTCTGTCCTGATCACTCTTCTGATACCCATGATTGGACATTTTCCATACCACCATCAACACACACTAGCTTCATGTGTGACTTTTGTCCGGTCTTGTACCTCAACTCTGGGTCTCGCCCCTCATGTAGCAACTTTCCTTGCCTGTACTATTGGCCCTTCCTCCTTGTCTATGTACCAGAGGCACTGGTCTTACTTCATACTTTGGTCTATTGGCCATGGCTTCTGACCATCACATCCTTCTGTCCCTAACCTGTCCCAGTTCTTCATCTAGTTGTTTGTTCAGGGTTTGTCTGTTTTAACTGTTGCTCTTTTTAGAGCCACCCTGTTGAATACCTTCATTTCTCCCACTTCTGGAATGCCTTCTCTTCCCTGGTTATTTCCCTCCTTTTCCAGCCCTTTTGACTGGTCCATCCTCCATGTTACTTTGTTTTGCTGAATTGGAATCTCAGTGTTGTCCTTCATACCCTATCTGATTCTTTGCAATGTGATTTTTCTACTATTTTCCCTTAAGATCTATTTTAATTCCACTTTGTCTGATGTTCCTGGTGGGTTTTACAATCAACTGAATACTTAATTTGTGAAATACTCACCATTTTTTAATGACTTTGAACAAAATTGATCCTTTGCTCAGGCCTATATGCTTTCAATGTCTACAGAGTTGAATTTTCTGATAGTTCTGATCCTGTAAAAATTTTTACAGGTGTCATTTCTGTTTTCTCTCAGGTATGTTCTATTTAAAATCTTGAATCAATTTCCATTACACCTAAGGATGTTGGTGTCATTTTATATGATTCATTATTTGAATACTTATTTCCTCCACCTTCTCCCGATATTCAGGTTGCTGGTGCTTTTAGAAACTAGCAAGATTTTAAAATACTTAATATATTTCACTGCTTCTATTAATTAATCTAATTCTTGACCCTCAAGATTGGTTATTGGAGAGGGGGGGGGTCTTCCATGTGGTCTTTTTACTCTTACCCATCATCAGTTTTCTGCCCTGTGCACTATGATTTGTCTTTTTTTTTTAAAATACCCATAAAGACAAATGAATGCAGGAAAAAAGCTCTTTCAAGGCCTGCTGAAATGTTGCATGGGTGATGAGTACCTTGTAACACATCACAACTGTTTAAATTGTTAAAGTAGCATGTGAGCCACATGAAAATATCAATAAGACCCACAGTTAATGAAGATTTCAAGGTAAATATTTTATCCTGATTAAAAGAATGAGGAGAATGAGAATAGCTAATATGTTTCTTTATTTAACATTAAACCACTGCAGAAGAGTATTAACACGAGGCACCAACGACTGCAATACCATAAGATATAACTGCATGAAATGTAGCCAGTTGAATGGTCAAATGAGCATGTGTAAGAGACTGAGTGGGGGAATAAGCCAATCATCCTTGTAAAAGTAAATGTTAGGGAATGGAAAAGCTCAGCAAATTCTTTGACTGCTTGATGGAAAATGTATGAAGCTGAAGCCAAGCTTAATGGAAGTATAGTTTTTCTTTTGATTTAGAAGTTGTAAGAAAACAGGATTGAAAGGAAGAGGAGAAGACAGAAATAAGAAAGTAAAAATAAAGACTGAACTGTCTATTAAACTCAAGGATCTCAAAACCAAGGGTCTCACAGTTTATTACCTAATGATCCAAGACAAGCCCCCCCCCTCAAATTTGAACAGAGGAGTTGTCCAGAACAAAATAGAGTCAATGAGTGAATTGAAAAACTTCGATGTTAGGCCATTTGAAGGGGTCAAGCACGTATAGCAGGCACCAATTGAGAAGTAGACAATGTAGGTACGGTGAAATGAACATTACTCTCTGGTCATCTTGAAGATGGACAATGAACAGAAGGAAATCAAGATGCCAAGCACTAATCAATACCTGTTGGCATGCTTCTCCTGAATGGGAAATCAACTGGAGTGTAAGGGAATGCGTGTTACTATTACTAGTGTATATTACATTGCTTATACATAAAAATACATATTTCAGAAATAGTAGCTGTAAATTGTAATTGAAATCTGCATTTGAAAATGTTACAATAAAAAAAATAATTTTGTCTCACCTTGAACTTTTGAATTTCTGGATAACTTATTAACAGAACTTCCAAACTGTTCCATAGTGAGTTCCTTATAATTGGCTACTCTTGTTCATGTATCAGTTGATGAATGAGGACACCTAAGTCATTTGTATACAAAGTTGTCTGATTTCCAGTTTTGTATTTTAGTAAATAATGATTGCAAGGATGTTTGTTTACATTTTCATTAATGTATGAAGGCCATGATGTATTTCGTTTTTTCGAGTGTTACGTATCTGGTCGTTTGTTAATTTTCCGTAAACATGATTTCCGAGAAACTTCAGCGATACAAGTCCTTTCTTAAATAAAACTAGTTTATTCTTTCTCAATTCAACTTTGCAATACACTTAATTTCCACAGTCACTTTAACTTAAACACATGCTATAATTCACAACGATTCATGCACTTTACATACGGTCACTACCGCTCACTTGACTCGATTAACTGTGTCTATTATCTTCCATCTCTCTATCTGCTACTCCAGTTCCGATTAATTCTCTCGCTTCATTTGACGCACTTATATACAATAAGAACGCGCGTCTAGCAAACGCTAGGACGATCGACAGGTTTCTCGATCATTCTAGAACTCCAGCGCATGCTCCCAGCTTCGCGTGACTTCTGCTGTCGGAACACTGCCCCTTCCTTAGTATTGTTCGGGATGAACAATAGCCACTTACATGAAACCAATAGATATTTAACAATAACTTGATTAAATGTACATAATTTACAAACACAAAATTAAAATTCAACAAAGTCTCTTAATTTTACGGGACGAATCTTCTTCCGTACTGGTCTCCATCTCGTTGGCTTCTGTTTCACGTAAAGCTCATCTGCTCCATTAGGAAATGTCCTATTATCGGTAATAGTCACATCAGTGGTAGTAACTTCATGAAGGGCTTCACTGTTTCCCTTCTCAAAACCGAGTAGAATTTCTTCTTCGACAGTGGCTTTTCCAGGTGACACATCTTCAGTGGCATCTTTTGTTCCATTGTTCACTTTGGTCCCAACTGAAATGCCCTGGACCATGATAACAACAACCCCGTTGGCATGCACCACCTTTGGCTTACCTTGTCGACCACATTTTATTCGGAAAGTCACGTCTGAGAGACGATCCACTATGTCATATGGGCCTTCCCATGGAGAAGACAACTTTGGAGAATTCCCTTTGGTCTTCCTGGTACTATACAACCACACATTGTCTCCTTGGACAAATCTGACTTCAGTAGATCTCTTATCATAACATAGCTTCATGGAATCAGCAGACGTTTTCAAGTTTGAATGCACCTAATGGTGAATATCATCCATCCTTTCAGATAAAACTTTCACGAACTCTGGCACATTTTCAGGCAACTCTTCATAAGGTGGGCGTTCTTTTGAACAGAGCCATTGGCAACCGAAGTTCCCGACCAAACATCAGCTTTGCTGGAGTGTATCCAGTGGCTACATGCTCTGCAGTTCTATACGCCATTAACAGTGGAGGGAGTAAGACATCCCAGTCATCTTGGCGGCTATTACAAAACTGTGACAATTCCTGTCCAAGTGTTCAATTGTACTTTTCTACCATCCCATCAGACTGTTGGTGAAGTTGTATTGTCCTGGTCTTTCATATGCCAAACAACTTGCAGCATTCATGAAACACAGCTGATTCAAAGTTAGGGCCTTGATCTGAATGCAGTTCGTATGGCATACCAAACCTGAAGAAGAAATCTCTAATAGCCGAAACTACAAATGTAACTTCCTGATTTGGTATTGCATATGTCTCAGGCCACTTGGTAAAACAATCCA